TTGTTATTTCCTTCCTCATTACGTAAATACATCTGTAACGGAAAGAGAACGCTAAAAATCCCTCCACAGAATTTCGTGTGATAGTACTGTCATTTATTTGTTCGTTCTCCCTGTCATGTATTTTAACTTTTGTTCAGATCTCTTCGGACCACACTTTATGTCCGTCAGTCCTTCTCGTCTGAGCTTTTATTATGTGATTTTGATTAAAGACTTACCTTCTTGTTACCTAATTTTCTATTGCATTTTGCCGGACTTTTGACAGTAAGGTCGTGTTTGACTAAGCTTAAAGTCATGGTGTCGTTCAGTGTGTGACTGATAACTTTTTGACTGTCAGCTTGGAAAGATTCCCGGAATCCCTGAAGATAAATATTTAGTCCCATCTTGTTGGGAATATTTTTGTTGATTCTCAAGTATCGAACCCTTTGGTATTAACTGTTTCTTTTATTGTTTAGCACGCCACTTCGCGTTAGAGAAATTTCTGATTGTACCGTTTGAGGTATTTGGTATTTTTGATATAATTTATCCTGTTTCCTAAATTAGAACGGTTTAAATTGAGCACGGACTTCGTGTTTTAATATAAATTAACACGACTATTTCAAAAACCCTTCGTACGCTATACAAAAGAACGTAGTTTGGCATATTCGTATAAATTTCGGTTCGTCAGTTCTGCGTTCAAACCGAATACTGGCAGTTCGGTCGTTACAGTATTCTTGGAAATCTTCATAGTGGACATTTATGTGCTAAGAAAATGAAGACCTTGGCAAAGCCCACTTGTTGGCGGCCCAAAATAAACGCAGCAAACAATTGTGAAAAATGTTATAAGTCAAAAAATCATTCTTTGGAGTGAATTTCATGGCGAGTATTAGTGACCGACAATGGTTTTCATTTTTGGCAGACACAGTCACTATCTGGTTGAACAGTATGGATTTCAGACATTTTTCATTGTTATCAGACACCCTTTTTGTAATGGTCAAGCGGGAAATGTCTTCAGGATATTGAAAACTACTTTTAATTCCATTGTTGCTTCAACAATTGATGAACTGGAGAGGGGAGTAGACACACTTCTACTGCCAGATAGACATACCAAATATTCTGTCAGTTATTAAAAACAAGGATTCTATATTAGAATATGAGGTGTTTAGAACCTGAATATGTTTCTTATTATTGTGGAAACGATCTTCGACCAGTCACGGGGATTGTAATGAAGATTGTTTGAAAATCTACGGTTCGAGATCTAGATATCAGTGGTTATGGTATACAAAACCTACATGTTGATTAAGTACAATTTCAGGATCAGGTGAGTCTGTTCCGATTTCGATTGTTGATTCTGATAGTAATGAGTATATTTTAGATAATATAGAGCCTACATTCAATACAAAATTGGACAGACATGATCAACCTAATTGACAATCTCTTTGTACTTGTTTACGAATTCAAAATATTATACCTTTATTTGTGCCTATCTAATTCTACCTGCATTGAAGTGCACCATTTCGGAAATTCTTAGTCAGCATATTAATTTGTATACTTATAATTATCATAATTACTTCTGTTATTCCTTGTCAAGTCACGTTCTGTACATGCTGTAGTTATATAACAGCGTTTTTTGATGTCTAATGTAGTTGTGCAGCTGAGTAGTGGGACGCTTTGATATTGTATTACGTCACCCTGAATTCTCTTGTATATTACATTTGCTTATGTTACAATCGTTCTTGATCTGTTTCATTTCGATGCGGAAAGTACACTGCTTAGCATTGTAAGCTCCAATATTCTCTGTTCAACTATATCAGTCATCTGATTAGTCTAATAGGTTGCCCGAATATATGGACCGTTTGGACTTAACGATGATATTGACGAGGATAGATGATGAAATATTATAGTTGAAATTAAAGTCTGAGGATGTGAATGGCTTCGTCTTTGCTTTGCTATGAAGCTATTTTGAAGGCATGTTCAAGTCGAACTTGATCTATTTCAAGTTATGACTTTCTGGATAAGATAAAATAAGACAGTGCTGAATTCGAAGTACCTAAAAGGTACTCCTGAAGATGTTTGGATAAGCCAGCAGTGTTTAATAAGAAAAATATACCCCAACTCGGGTAGATAAGGAGTAACGTGAGAAATATTAGCTGACCATTTATACGAGAAAAGACTGTTCATATAGGGTTTGTTTCGTGATCGATGGACGACGGCTGACCGGGCACCTTGATACATTTATAGCCGCCAACATTTACAAGGTCAGTAGCGACTTCGAGATCTTCGTGAAATAATTTGTTACGAGAATCGACTAACCAGTACAAACGTTTTCCGATTGATTTTCAGCATTTCTCAGCTGATGAGAAGGTACTCTTAAGATATTCAAGGTGCTCTAATAGGCGATATGACTCCTGGTTATCTTCGTACTTCCAAATGTCTTGAGCTGACTGCTCACCAGATTATGAACCATTCACAAAATACGTGACAGTGTTAATGACTCACTTTCAGTCACTGAGCCGTTACATCGTCAGGACTAATTCTGAATGACGGGCTTGATACGTATTCGTTTTTTCAGCCATAAAGTTTAAACCATATGTTATTCGCATTCTTCAGAGAAAAAAAGACAGTCTAAGCTTTCAATTATTTAATGCCATCAATAATAATATTAATAATATATTTCTGCATGTGCAGGTACACACCGTTTTTACAGGCATGATCTATAAATTAAAACATTTGTTGGTTCACAAAATGTTTCCCAACTTATTAAGTTTATAGTTGTTATAAAGTGAAATCGTAGAGCGCTTGTTGTAAACTATGACCTTGAGAGGACGCGAATATCAAGTTTGTTCCAAACGTCAGAAGTTTCATAGCTGTGCTCTCAAAGCAAGATTCTGAAGAAGAAAAAAAGAGAAACAGAAGAGCACCAAGGCACTTGGATATGAACGCCAAACGTTGCTTAACATAGTGTAGTAGAATGGACAGAGGTATAATAAATTAGAATAAATTCATATTATGTCTTGTTAGTGAAATGAAGTCAGAGGCTCCATATTAGAGAATGTACTAATAAAGAACAATGAGTTGTGATGTTTAACAAGTTGGAGTAAGCTCACACGAAGGAAATGAAGTCAACGCTCGTACAAGGAAAGCGGTTTATTGGAAGGGTGTGTATATAGAGGGTGAAGTGTTAGGAATATTAATGACTACGTCTTTTATTGTCTAACTATTTCTTTCCCTTTTTTTGTTTGTCCGATGCCAGCCACACAATCCTAGTGTCAAAATCCGAGTTAGCATGTTATAGGTTGTCTCAGTAGAATAGCTAGTCCAGTATAATATTGGAAACATGAGTTTGAGTGGTGAGCGTAGGAAAACAATCTATATCACAGATTGATTCATGAGAGAAATAAAAGCAGAGAAACTCTGGTTTTCTAAAAAGGATCGAGTCTTTTAACAGCAGGTTCAATGATTTGTGGACAAGTAACCTGTGCCGGGGACTACACAGGTGTCATTTCACATAGGAGCCTTGAAATTAAAGTCTGTCTAGCTGCGAAGAATGGGTAGAGGTGCTGTGATAAGGTACGACACTTTTTACAACCTCTATCACAATAGACCATTTACACACCATAACGCGTGACATGATTTAACGAGATAATACATCAGAGTTGATCATGATATTGTCGACACATCAGTAGATAATTTAACTACTGGGTTCGGTAGGCTACGTAAATTATGTACAGGGAAATGCGTGTTGGGATCGGCGAAAATTATTTAGGTGGAGACTAAAGACCTTATATAGGACTGATTTCATCTCAAAGGCACTTAAGACTCTTTGTCCAATCACATCATTCTAATTGCAATGGCGAAATTTGAGCCCTTGTGATCAGATGTGCCTGGTGACGAAGGACAAAATGAGCTTTTTCTTCGTGTCCCCTTTTCGCAGGATGGACGTGGTTGAATAATTCACCAACGTAATCCACTGTTGATGTCACAGAGCTAACGTTACGATCCGTCTATTAAAAGATATTACAGAATTGTTGCCACTGCCTCAGAGTCCAGCACCATCTTGAATGACTTCCTGTTCAAAGGAGTGAATTTTTGAAGACACAGATATCTCTCGATGAGGCAGGCTATTATTATAGACGACGAATGTTGTACGAATTTTCGCAAAAGGTTTCTTTTATTCAAACATAATGTAGTGTCTCGATCCTGCTTATGATTGCGATTACTCAGTCCCTCTTTAGCTGACAAAATACTATCATTGTCATTTAAACATCGCTATTTGTGGCTTAATTTCGTCCAAGACGTTCCTGTGTTTGTTTCGTTGTGCAAGGAATCGAAGAACGCAATTTCGTTTTCCGATTTTTCAGTTCCTGTCGATTTGATGCCAAGTTTTCTATTAATCAGTTGATGAGTATTTGTGAGTTCATCAATCTTGAAGAAACCAAATGTATTATCTACTAAGATGTTCGGTATGTCTGGTTTGACTTACAGTAAACGACGGCTTTGAATGTTGTATTGATGTTCCTGATAAAAGTCTTGATGTATAGTGTGGTGTCGAATCGCGGTTGACTATGATCATCACTCCAGGAAGACTACGTGTCAGTTAACCGATAAGATACTCGTAAGCCAAATATCAGAAGGCAGTTGATGGCTGTAGTCGACTTGTACTTGTCGGCGATCTCGTTGTATCGAAAGAATATTGAGATCGTCCCAGTTTACAAGTGTGATGTCTGAGCATAACCGAATCAGTGAAAGGTCACAATCGATGGAAGAATGTATGTTTTGGTACAGTTAAACAAATATGCACGGTAAAACAATCCCTGATACAATTGGTTATAATAATTGTTTCCATTACATCAATCGCGTTCACTTGATAAATGTAGGTCACTGCCGATGTAATAAACCTCATATTTTTTGAATAACATGAATCACTCGCTTAATTCCCATTAGTTTTTTTACATTTAAAACTTTAATAGCCTCTGAGTTTCGTTTAAGTCAACGTTGTCACTTTTGTTTGAGTTCTTCATTTTACAATGAACTCGACTTAGCGTCAAAATGAAATTTCATCAGTTACGGAACTTACTGATGATCTTTTCACATGACGAGACAAGATTCTTCACACCTGTCCCCTATATACTTCTAAGATGTTAAACACTTCCTCGAGTGAAGATGATGAATACGTTGGCTCGTCAGGGAATTTAGGTGATGATGATCAGAATGTGGACTGGTTGCATTATGAGAACAGGAAGTAAGTGTCATTTCCTTTAGCTTAGCTTGTGTTGATTGAAGACTTTGTGGAACAATGTGGTTTGACATGTCATTGGAATTTCACTTTCACGTTAAACGTCGTATAATTAAAGTGATTTTCATGTGTAGTTTTATTTAACTGACTTCCCTATTTCTTAAATTGCTACTCATGTTCAATTTAGACCGGATAACAAGTTTTCATAGTTTTTTTACGATACATATAGTCATGTGTTTTATAGTCACTTGCTGAACTTATCAATTTGAATATTATATCACTAAACCATTTTGTTTTTTGTCATTGAAACGTTTTTTGTTTCACAGTTAACGTTATCATATTACGAATTGAGCGTTTCAACAATCAGCATTAAAATTTACTCTCCTATCTTATGCATATATTGAGCTTTGGATGAACTTCATTAAGTTTAAACTCCAGATGATTTTCAGTGATAGATTTTTCAAGTTAGGGAGCTTATAATAAAAAACTATCCATGTAACATCACAGTTTCTTTGGAATGTACAACTAACTAGATATTGCTCTGGAAGGGAGGTTATATCACGGGTTTTTCATGTGCTTCTATCACCAATCTTAAACGAGAATCTTAATTTCCCCGCTTCTCATCAGACAAAATTCTAAGTTTGTTGTAAAATAGCGGTAAAATGTCAAATTACCTAAAATTTCGCATTAAAAGTTCGAAAGACTAATTTCTTGATGCTTTAAGTTCAGTCATCTTTGCGAATGATCTGTTTGGAAATTGCGCATGAGACCAAAGATTCTGAGCTCGAGTCCCTCATGCGGGGTTGTAGATGCGCAGTCCTAAGTGGTCTCACACTAAGATGACAAAACCACCCGGTGCTTCCAGACTTTCGACAGTGGTGTGACACTGAATGGTTCATGAAGTCGACTAAAAATCAACGATCTTCACAACCATATACTAATATTTGTGATCTATCGATTATTTTTCGCAACGTTTTAGAAACTGGTTTCTAAAAATTGTTTGAATACAATAAAACTTTCAGGTCATGCGGTATTTAAACTGAATTCGGCTTGTTCGTCCATCACAGAGTTCGCTTTAAAATTATTCATCTGTGGTGAAACTGTCTCAACAGATTGGTCAAACTTTATTATTTATTTTTAACTTGTGTGTTGCTGAGTATAACATTCGAATGTTTCTAAATCTTTCAATCGTTCTCTCGAGATCACCGTTATAATCCAAATTTTTAATGCGAAACAATGCCTTCTCACCTGTGTACCAAGTATTTTAAAATCAAAATGTAAGCTTGTCTATACTTATTAAGAAACAAAGATACAAGACAGGGCTAAATTTCTCTGGTAAAGAAAGACATAACAAGCCACTTTAAAATCTGTTTATAAAGGTCGAAATACACAAGAAACATTTTGTTTTGTTTGGGTAATTTCAAACAAAGCGACACTGACTTTAACCATTTGTAGATAAAAATAACTGAGAACGACCAACCCCGGATCATCTTTTCCTAGGATTCAGTGAGTGTTACCATATAAAATTTTGCAAAAAAATTCTTTTTACACCTCTCATTACTCAGATTATAAGTTTCAAATTTAAAGTCGAAAATGTTACCAACAGAATGCCGGATACCAAATCATCTGTCACTGGGTCTTTTTGAAGCTCATTAAACTGTTTTTCACAAATGTTGAACTAAACGTATTCAGGACTTAATCAAAGCTAAACACTCATGAGTGATCTTCATTGGCCATAAGTTACTGAAATTTTATCCATTTTGATGCTAAGAACCGAATTCTAGATGACGTATTTGACTTCATAAAGGTCAACAAGCTTGAAATTGATGGTTTTTTTAGAGATTAATAGTTGATTATCGTAAAAGTTTTATTCGAACCATCATAAACAGTTGTGACGTTAGCCACATGATCAAGTGAATTTTTCGATGTCATAAATTGATCAGTAACTCTCACAATGTGATTATCATCTTATTAGCCGATAAGCAACAAATGGCATCCGAACAGTTTGAGTAGAAATCTAGCTCTAAATGGTCAGTAAGTTAGAGATGATCTGGCACCTTTCAATTGGTAGGTGTATCTACGGTAAATAGTTTACTGGACGAAACATGGAGCATAATTTTCTTTTGTGAAAACAAAGGTCTAGGACGAAGGGTTTCCAAATAACCCTGCAACCGAGTATTTAACATTTGTTCTGTATAATTTTAAGTAGCTTGCAGTTTTCATATTTTTAAGACTCCTTTGATTGGTTAGAAGTTTTAGAATATACTGTTTTCATTAATCTTAAAACAGGTCTGAATTCTTTTTTCATATTTTATTCTCTGAAAGAAATCGTTTATAACTACAGTTAATGGAAAGAAGACTTTAAACCGAATTCCGTATTAGTTTTTGAAAAGTTTGTTATCGGGATGTACTGGCACATAATTACTGGTTCTGAATTGATAGATAGACAATATGCAAATAATTTAATTTGATAAAAGACTGAAGCTTACAATTTGGATAGACATGCCCCTTAAAAGTAGAATAGAAGTATTCACATGAATTTTAAACAAACAGATAACATTAAATTTTGGTACTGTTAAAGTCGTAGATATACGTCACTCGTAAAACATCTCATTTGTTATTAACATAGGGGATTCATGGAAATTGCTGAATTTGATAGTTTACATTACGGTCTGATCTTACTTAGACAAAGATTGGTGGCAGAGAGGACTGGATATTTGTTTCGTCCCCAAATAAGAATAGCTAACAACTAAATTCTAACTCATTGATCAAAGGTTGAGTGCTTATCTTGAAACTTGAATATCTTGGGTTCGATTTCTTAAGTGATCGTGATAAATATTTTGAGGGGTCCTATACTAAGGCGGAGCAATCGTTCAGTGCATTCCGGATTTAACTGGTGGTTTAACTAAGTTTGACTCGTAATGTAAACCACAAAATTAACTTATTATTAGCTCATGATTAAGTAACATTCACTATTCATCTTAGATTGGAAAGAGTAGGAAGTAATAATATGCACAAATTATAGGTATATGTACAATTATCTTTCTGACCTAAAAAAATAGAAGGCTCATAATATACTCTTTCCAGTAGTATGTTTGGTTTTCCATATCGCACCAAATATTTGACCTTGTAATGGAATGTGAGAAAAGGTATATGGTTTGTCTGTACTTACCCAACCTCTCAGTAAAAACCAGCGATAAGTTTTAAGTTTTCAATTTAAGTTAGATGGTGTAGAGTTTGAATCTACAACCAAATGGTTAAAAGCTGAGCGCTGAAAGATACGTATGGTACTGTAATAACTTTATTGCCACCACAACTTGAGTATTCATGTGGTTAAATTTCGATATCATTTTGAGTATTGTATTTAGTTCGCACTTTAAAAACAAAGTGAGTAGATTGGCCAGTTCATATTCTTTATACACAAATTGATCTTCAGGCCGCTTCAAGTAACAGTGAGCTTTTCAGTTGTTCCATAAGTAATATATCAATTTTTTCTGATAGCGTTGTTTGTGACTGACAATCATCATAAGCTTTGTTGCTTTGAAATGTTTTTACACTCATACTGATTGTCTTTTTATTTTGACCTCTCGTGTTGTGATTGACTGGACAATTTCGTACATGATGGTAGAAGTAATTTGCTATTACTATGATGATAATGGGAATTTCTGAAGATTATTCAGTTATAATTTTTCGTCACACATCCATATGAGTAAAATAAACCGATAGAAATTAGACATCACAGAACTCAACAGAGTTCTAGCTTGGATCTCTTCATTTAGTATATATCCGTTGCTAAAGATCCAGTTGAATGTAAAACCCTCGAGTTTTTCAGTCTACATAACATACACAGACTTGCAGGTTGAAATGCAATGGTTCACATTTTTCAAATTCTAACTATTCTAAATATCATCAACATCGCCTAAATAATCATAAGTAATTCAATAATTTTCTATGTTAACCAAGTATTGGAAAGAACTGTTATCAGAGGCTGAAATGCCAATACTTTCAACAGTAAATATTATTGTAATAAATAAAATTAAGGGTTTGTATTTATATACAAAAAGTTGATTCCATAGTTTTTACTTAAAACTGTTAAATATTTAAGTCCAAAATAAAATGTGGCCTGATATGTTACCAGAATAGCAATCTTATTTAGCAACAGTTCATGTTATACATCTAAAAATCAAGGTTTAAGAAATTGTATAGTAACTAGTAATGGAATAAAGGCGACACGTTTCATTCCATTTAGGACTCCTCAGCTGTGTTAATAGAAACCCTTACAAACAACGCTAGTAATTAATAGAGTATTTCGTTTGCTTTTCCTAAATTAAATTCATGACTTTAGTCAGTTAATCATAACCAATGTAGAATACGTCACAAATACTCATCGATCCGATCTAATGCACCAAATCAGTACAATAGGATGAAATTATCAGGACTACTGTCATAATCACCAATACTGTTAATATTAATACCTATAATTAATATTCCACAGTTCATGCAAAATCAAATACAATCAATTAAAACTAACATCAATATTAGAATATGAATTACTGAATTCTCGTTATATGAGATTGTACTTGTGAGATTGTCATTTCTTTAAGTTCGTTTCCATTAGATATTACTATTTTTTCTTTCTTTCTTTGGTTGTCATATACCATGTGAATTAGTTACAAACTGGAATGTTATATAACTGTTCATTACTTTCATTTTCTCACAAATTCTTCAACAAAAGATTATTTTGTTTTGAAGGAAATTTCTCAAAGTCAATAATTTGACTAAATCATTTCACATAAAATATCAAAATAGAATAACTATATTTATTCAGAGCAAAATTTGCTAAACATTCAATCTTTTCAATTTAATAATTGTTAATGTCAAACTCCAGGGTTCGAATGAATGCCAGCTCAGTGGTCTAAAGGTTAGGCATTCGTACGCGAGACTGATAAGTCCTGGGTTCGATTCTCGCGGGGTGCGGGATCGTGGATAAGCACTTCTGAGAAGTC